TCCTTCAAGCTGCCTTCCCCTCATGGCTCCAGGCAGGGCTCTCATCACCTCTCCATGATGTAAAGAAGGGATCACACACAGGTAGGGCCTGGCACTGCACACAGAAAGTGAGAGGGGTTTTCCACACTTGAGGAACAAGGATTGAGGGTCTTCCTCCCCCCTCTGCCTGCAGCCACCTTTGGAGGGCAGAGCACCTCAGAAGGCTGAACTGCCTTCACCCTTTCTCTGGACCAGAGATTGTCTGGGCTCAGAGGAATGCAGCCATCTGCTCAGCACAGCAAGGATGCTCCTGGACCTGGGCTTTCCTACTCTGTAGAACAGGACCTTCCCCTCTGCTCTTCCCAGACCTGCTGTATTCTCCTTCCCCTGTCCCTGCTGCTGTGGTGTTCCTACCACACCATCTTGCAGGCACTTTTTTACACTTCTCCTATTCTCTCAATATTATTTTCACAAGAGACAAGCAGAAAGACCTCAGGCCTAGATCCTGGTGTCTCCAATCCTCAGCATCCCTGTGCTGTTCAGAGCTGAGGTTTCACATAGCACATCAGTGCCAGGGCTCCCAGATGGAGAAATACCAAGGCTGGATAAAAATACAAGGTAGAATTACCAAGTTCACTGGTTTTCATATTAAATATTGCTGCAGCAAGTGTTGCCAAACTGCTCAGGTAGTAGATGTTTCAGACTCCTCCTCATATCTTGCTATCTGCCTTGATCCACAAGCATTATAGAAATGCAGGATTCAAGAAAATTTGGTTTGATGATGAGGAAAGGGTCATGTGATTGGGAAATGATCTCTCTGCCACAAACCTTCCTGCCTGGATTCAGACTATCACTCCTTTGTGGAGAAGGCTGTGGATATCCTTATTCCAGTGTAGATACTTTCCTACAGTCATGGGTGAAAGCTGATTAATCTTGTTTGTCCCTTCACTGGTTTCCATTCTTACCTTTAAAAACCCAGTATGTTTGCAAAGTGCCCTCACAATTGTCAGCAGAAGAAAAGGTGTTTTCAAGGCTCAGTGTAGCTGCACTCAGAGTGATGTGCTGGGAAATACCTCTAGCTGCCAGAAGAAGACCTTGAGAACAAAAATGTGTTACTGCAAGAGATTTATCTAGCCAGGGGGAAGGGTTAAATACTGTATGGTATTTCACTAACTAAGGTTAATTAAACAAATTATTTATCCATTTCCATTGTGCAGAGATTGTCTGATAATAAAGATCTCTCAGAATATCTAGATTTTTGAAATGAATAATTTGTTTATGAGGAAGGTAGTGAAGAACTAATCAATTAAACAATCAATATTGATCTTTTACCTGGGCAGCTTAAGACTTTTTTTTACACTTGAACCACCGGGGAATTCCTTTTGTTTTCCCCTTCTTCCTTACCCTTTTTCAGTTATTACAAGGGTTTGAAGAAGAACTGTGATCCATCACTCACTCTTGCTTCACTGCTTGCAGTGTTTGATTGGCCACTCAAATAAACTGGATTTCTCATTCTTGTCAGGGTGTCAAAACCAGAATATGAATAGCGAATACCAGGTGGTGTGTACATATCCTCATTCATGTGCAAATGTGGTTGTTTGGATAAAGAAGAAACATATTTACCATCCTGAATGTTCACTTTCAAGGCTTCCAAAGTTATCTTTGGCCTCTCATATTTTCCACTTCCTTCTTCCATTCCAATGATATTGGCCTGTGTGGAAAGATGTTTTAGGTCACTCTCTTTTCCCCCTGGGCTTTGGTCTTCCTGCTTGATGGCTGTCCCTGGAGGCAATAAATTCATATGTGGCAACAATTTTAACTGGTGATAATTCCATGCAAGACATGATGGCTGTGGAGGTAGGGATGAGATGGAGAAGAGTGTTCTGACTCTTCAGTTTTAGGATGATCATCAGATTTTCTTCTTAAATTGTTAGAAACACAGAAGCAGAGGAAAATAACCACTCTGGCAAGAGAGTTATGAATGAGAATTGAGCATTATTTCATATTGTAGAAAAACCTTGGATTCATTCTTCAAGGAATGACACAGCTGTTATTGTCACTGTGTAAAATTCCACAAGGAATATATTAAGACATTTTTTTAATCTGAAGAAATCAGGACTTTTTTTTCCTCCAATTTGTTGGTTCAAAGGATCATATGATATTTTAGAACAAAATCAGTTTCAATCTATGTAATTTCCTTCACTATGCATGAAATCCGCTGATTTTTTTTCCACAGTGTTTGCACAAAAAGTTATCAGTTGACCCTGATTCCCTGACATTTCCTTGCAATCTGTCTGACAGTGAGTTTTTTTGGAATTTTGGCTTGTACTTTAATGTGCCCCAAAATAATTGGTTTGTACTGGGGCTAGAGCTGTTGATTTCAGCTGCAAGGTTCTTCAGAGATGCCCCAGTCAGAATTAAACAGGGCCATGAGGTCTGATCTTATTTTATTTAAAGTCTGCTGAAGGTTTAGACATTTATGGCTCCCCAAGAAGACCTGCCCATTAGTTGGCAAGGGTTTCTTGCTATTTTGCTGCAAGAAACTCATTTAAGTTTTAAGATTCCACTACCAATCCAATAGCTGACCAGGAACCTCCTCATGAAAGAAAAATGCTGAGATGCATCAGCCAGAACTGAAAGGTATCTTTGGACAGGAGCTCTCTTTTTTTTTGGTACAATGAGATGATTGTGAAACCTATGGTAGCATAAATACTTCCTTCCAGGCAATGGAAAATGTTACTCTTGAGATATTGTCTTTTTGCAAAACCCAGGAAGTTACAAAATATTAAATAACAAATCAAACACATGTTTGTTTCAGATTAGAGGGCTGTGGTTGTTTTATTGTTCTGCTGAAGAAAAAGAGACCTGGAGAGCCACTCCCCTTCAGAAATAGAGTATATATTGTGAGGTCCTCTTTACCACCAACACCTGGTGAGATGGGTACCCCCATGGTTTTGGCATGGCTTCTCTTGTTGGGTCCAGCAGTTCTGGAGGCCAAAACAGGTAAAAGACTTAGACTTGTTCCAGGGCAGATTAAAAAATTTATAAAGACTGCTTGGAGTCCTCTCTGTTGGTTCCAAGAGCAGAAATTAAATTCAGGCTGGTATTGGTTTGGGCAAAAGATTGCGAATTGGATGAAAGAGCAGAGTTTTGTTCTACTAAAATTGTGAACTAATCATCAGAGTGGATGATAAAAATTATTTGAACCATTTTGTGGGGTTCATTTTGCTGCCACAGGTTCCTACTCAACTTAGTGCCTTGTATCATTGCAAGAATTGTGTCTGTGAGTATGTAATCAATGAGGTATTCTTCCAGCTCCAGAAATCTGATCCAAAAATCATTGAAAGATTTATTTCTTTACTTTTCTCCATGAGTCATTTATTCCAGAGTATACATGTGCGCACATATTCTATATATTTAATATTGCTTGTATCAGTTGGTTCTTCTTGGTATTATGCACAATTTAACAAAATATAACATGAAGTTAGGTTTTCACACTCCAGTACTGTGGTTAAATGATGGACATCTAAAAATTATGAGAGATTAAATATTTTTAGTTCAACTTTTTTTATGATCATAGAATTTTTCCTTCCATGATTGCTTTCTATCTCCTGAGTGGTTTGGGTGACTTTGAGTTAATAGTTCTGTGTGTATCTTACAATAATTGCTGATGACTTTTCTAATGAGTTATTTAAGCTTCTTGATGATAATTTATATTGCCACCATTCACCCCATCAATTCTCTCCCTCTGTCTCCTGCTTTTGTGGTGGTAACTCATCTCACTCTGGCTGCTCTGTGTCCCAGAGCAGAGTATTTGCTGTATTTGTGTAATCACAGGCTTTTGTCTTTTTGATACCTTTGAAGTGTGAGGAAGGATCCAGCCTATCCAATTTCATCCCCAGCTGATGGTTATGCTCTCACAGGGATGACAGCCCTTGAATGAAAGCAAATAAAACTGGTTTAGGTTGGCTTAATTTCCTAATCCCACTCTGACTTTTTGCCAGGTTTGCTGTTTCACCTCTCAAAAACCCTGTGAGTAGGGCTCAAAAATGTGCATGTTCAAATAGATATTTGAAGGAACAAGTCAGATATAAGTCAAGGGGCACTTTTATAGCTTTGCCCATTGAAAGTCATACAAATCAGTGCCAATTTAGTTTGGTCACCATCTTGACTGTACTTCTGCATCAACAGCAAAGAATTAGGGGCAGTGAAGAAATCCTGGAGGTGTTAACTTTTGAAATTTGTTTTGCTCTGGATGACTTAGTGTTTAATAATAAGGTAAATATATACTTGGCAGCAATGTAAAATATAACAAGTGCAGCTGCATGGTTTGATTTCCAGAGTGTAAATACTGCAAATCCAAAGTTAAAATATTTGTTTGCTTGCTTGCACTTGATAGTAAAGCTTTTAATAAACTTCTTCACCAAAAATGGATCTCTAAAATCAGAATTTTTATGCTGGTCACATCATAATTCTAAACAAGACATAAAACTGAAAAGCAGATGGGCTTTATCTGAATGAATGCAGTAATCAGCTGTATACAGGATAGGTTATTTCTTTATTTCAAAATGTAATAAATTTTACTGGTATATAAGTAATAAAGCCACTGAATTCCTGTTCAAATCTTTATAATCCTGTTGAAACAGAATCATCCATTCTGTTGAACATTTGGTGGAACTCTTTCACTAAAGTTAGTTTTATAAGCTATAGGATTTGGTGATGTGTGGACTCTCAGTCCTTAATCCTGTCCCAAAAATTTCTTTTCTTGCTTAAACCGCTCGTGCTTAGCCTGCTGCCTAACTTTACTGCAGGGATCTTGCATAAAACACACATGGCTGATTTTGAGAACTGGAAGAGAGGAATAAAAAAGGAACAAATCCCCTCTGTCCTCACAGGCACTTAATAATGGACTGGGCAACACCTTCTAGGGACAATACTGGAAGAAAGCAGAATAGATGCTCATTCCAGTCCCTTCCATCCTATTTCCCTGACTGTTTTGTGCCCTTGCCTCTCTCCCAAAGCTCCCTACGTCCACCTGGTGAACGGAAGGCACCGGTGTGAAGGTCGTGTTGAGATCTACTACCGGGGACGGTCGGGGACAGTGTGTGATGACTTCTGGGACCTCCCTGACGCCCAGGTTGTGTGCAGGCAGCTGGGCTGTGGCAGGGCCATTGCAGCTCTGGGAAGTGCCTACTTCGGGCAGGGCTCGGGTGACATCGTGCTGGACAACGTGAGGTGCAGTGGAAATGAGGCGTCCTTGCTGCGCTGCAACCACACGGGGTGGAGGATCCACAACTGCGCCCACTACGAAGACGCTTCTGTTGTCTGTTCAGGTACTCCCACACTTTTTCACCCTCAAATCCTGTCCTTTCATTCCACTGACCCTGCAGAACTAGCATGGATTTGTGTTGTCATCTTATTGAAGGGGTTCCATACTGTTGTCTCCTTATCACAAAAGTTTCATGTGTTCTTGGTGTTCCTCATGGAGCAGCTCCTCAGATCACTGACTCTTTCTTCTTCACAAAGCAGCCAACTGACTCCAGTTCCCTTCTCAACCAACCACACCACTCTTTTATAGCATCTTCTTCTCATTGGTTACAGCTGTGGCCTGTTAAAGTCAGGCCTGTTCCTAATCTTTGATAATTGGCCCAGCTGTAACTCCTTAGGGGTAAGATTACTTTCTACACTATCTTTATTTTCTTATATTCTATCCCCCTACAGATTTGTGTTTTTCTCATTATGTGAAACCTGTGCTTGCTCATCCATGCAAAGCAATTAAAAACCGCAAGGATCAGATATATATTGCAGATACACAAGGACAATTATTCCATCTAATCACCTGGCAGTGGCAATAAGGAAACAATTCAAAATTAGAGGCAAAGCTATGTCTGATCAGCAAAGTTTATCAAGGAGGAATGGGGTTAGGTGAATTCTTAGTGGATTTGTTATTGGCAATAATAATTTCACAATCACATCTCAGATTGTCATAGCTCATAATTCACTTTGGATTGTTTCCATATTTTTCAAGTCTTCCTTCATTTAGGTCCATTAATGCCTTTTTCCTTTGCAAATACCCATCCATTTTGAGTATCTTTCACCTTGCTGTGTTGATTTTACTTTCCCATTACTTTTTAGGAGAATTTATTTGTATCTTATTTTCTCATGTATTAACAACTGATCATCATGAACCGAGCATTGCTGATGACAACAGACTGTTCAGGTGTTTTGTATCAATATTGCAGTTTTCCACGTTTCCTTAGAGAGTAAGAGCCTGGAGAGCTAAATCCATGCTGGAAGGAAGTACTAGCTACACCAGTGTTTTTCCCTTAGAAGAAAAGAATAAAAATTGCTACCAGACCTGTGAACGCATCACACATAGACCTGTCATCTATGTTTGATGTGTTCAGAGCCTTTTTAAATGCCATTTATTTCTTGCCTGCATTCATAGCTCCCGTGCCTTCTACAGGCTGGATGTATCCAACAGATGATGCAGCCTGGTCCACTCCTGCCCTTGCACCAAGCACCATCCCAAGACCACTGCCCAGACTGTTCCTGGGGATGTCCTGATCCCCTGCAGAAGAGCATTCACAATGGGGACAGGCCCAAGCCCTGCTGCTGCCAGCAGCCCCACAGCTCCCCCCTTCATGCTAGGAGCCTGTGGAGTCTCAGGCTGAGCCTGGGCTGTGGAGTCCAGGGGCTGGGAGCAGATGCCACCCTGAACCTTACCCTGCTGACCATCTGGAAATACCACTTCCAATAAAAAAACTAAATTGGCTGTTACCCACCTCCATTCTGTCCATTGACCCCAGAAAGGAAGGACTATCCCATCAGAGTAATTGCTCTTGATTTCACTTCATCCTTGAGGGTCTGGGCTTGTAGCTACCACACAGACATATCCATTGCACAGTGCTGATGTGTGGAGTGTTTTTCTTTTTTTTTTTTTTTCACAGAGGAGCCTGATTCAAAACAAGCAGAGCCAATACCAACGTCTACAGCAGATTCAGCACTGGAGACAACCTCCACAGTAGGGACAACATCCATAGAACCAATGTCTCTCTCAGAGACATCAATGTCAGCATCAAGAGTCTTCACAAATGAGATGACATCCCCTGAGGAGATGACCACAACTGGATTAACAACCAACACAGAGGAGGTGTGTTTTGTGGAGATAATCAAAACTCCACAACTTTTGTATGTTTATTACAGAGCTGGACGCATGTGGGAATCGTTCTCCTAAAATGACATGCGTACTTCTGGGAACTTCAGGTCTCTTTTATCCCCCTCTCAAATACATATGCATACAATTTCACAATAGGTTCATGCATATTTATTTTTACGAATTTCGTGTGATATTTGCCGCTAGTTCTTCTTTATCAGAAAGAATTCCTAGGTCAGGTTGACCTACTCTCACAGCAGTCTCTCTGTCTCTTTATCACTCTCTATCTCTTCCCCCTTATCTCTGTCCTTCTAGAAAAACTAGGCTTTTGCAGTCAGGCTAAATAGCTATGTTTTCTAACCACAGACTTAACTCAAAAATGTACATTTCGCCTAAATCAAAATGGGTTTCTACTCTGGAAAATTTCCACTCTGCCTCATGTGACAACCCCATTTCAGACAACCGCCATGGTGACATCATCCCCCACAGCAGAGGAATCCTTCCTAGAGGAGGTGGCCACCACAGTGCCAATGACAACCCTAGCAGTCACACCCAACCCATGGCAAACAACCATGAGAGAGATGTCTACTCTACCAGAGACAGAAGTGCCATCCTCTGCCCCAACACTGCCGTACTCACTGTCTGATATGATCAGCACAGTGGAGGAGAGCACAACAGGTAACCCTGTCCACTGTCACTCACTGTCCTCTTTAGTGCCCCTGGGCTTCCTTCCCAGACCTGGCTGCACTGCAGACAGACTCCCAAAATGACAGGAGAGAGTTCCATGTTCTCTTCTCCCATTATTTGTCCAGCTCTGCTTTTCATGTCCATTGCCATTGCACTAATGACCTCCTTAGCAGGAGCATCCAGCCCAACATACTCGACCAGCGCACCGCCACCCACCAGCCCACCAGAGACGTCCACCTCAGCAGAGACGTCACCCACAGCAGAGATGACCAGCAAAATGGCATCCAGTGCCACGCCAGAGATGTCCACAGTGCCATCCAGTGCCACGCCAGAGATGTCCACCACAGCAGAAATGCCCACCTCACCAGAGACAACCACATTCACAAGGATGATGACCTCACCCTTGTTGGGCACCTCAGAGAAAATAGCTATGAGGCCAGAGGAGAGCACACCAGGTAACCCTGTCATCTCTCACTCATCAGTCTCCAAAGTGCTCCTGATCTCTTTACTGAGTGACCCTAACCCCTGGTACATGTCCCACTGGTGGATTGGTGCTTTCTGTTGCTTGGTGAGCTGAGCATATGCCAAGAAAAAGCCCTGTTTGCACAAAGAGAGCGCAGCAGACTCTCCTGGCCTGCAGGAATAGGGTTTCAGAGAGGTGGCAAAGAGCAGGACAGAGGGGTGACTGAGCTGGGAGGCTGGGAAAGGACTCAGGGCGTTTTGGGCTGGTGTCTCTATGGGAAATGACTGGGCAGAGCTTCACCCTGTCTACCAGCATTAATGATCCATCCTTGCCTGTCATACCAAATGCTGTGGCCACTGTAAGAATTACCTCCCTAGCAGGGATACCCATGATAGAGCAGAAGATAAAGGAAACAACCTTCATAGCACAGACGACAACCTCAGCAGAGACAACCACCTCAGCAGAGATGGTGACTTCAGAAGGGATTCCAAGAGGGGAAAGCAGCACACCAGGTAACCCTGTCCACTCTCACTCACTGTTCAGTGTGTGAAACAGCAAAGTCAAAACAGTGATTTCAGATGAGTGAAAGAGATGAGAGATCCTCTGCAGGATGTTGTAGGAATCACAGGACAGGGGCTCCTAGAAAACAGGCTGCACTCCTCTGCATGACGTTGTGATGGCTCTGTATGGAACATTTGTCATTGATATCAAATTCTTCCTTGCAGCCACAACTCCAGCACCCCTCTCATCCACACCATACTCCACAGGTAATTCCAGCCCCCAGCCCCCTGCCTGGCCTTGCAGCAGCCCCGTTGCAGTGGCCCATGTGGGCAGAGCAGAGAGCTGGGCTGCTGTGAGCTCATCCTTGTCCCCGTGCTGTGTGCCAGGGTCCGGCGTGCGGCTGTCGGGCGGCAGGAACGGCTGCGAGGGCCGCGTGGAGCTGTACGACGGCAGCACCTGGGGCACCGTGTGTGACGACCAGTGGGACATGCAGGATGCCCGGGTGGTCTGTCAGCAGCTGGGCTGTGGAGAGCCCCTGGCTGCGCTGGACACTGCTCACTTTGGCCCGGGCTCCGGCCGCATCTTCCTGGACGACGTGCAGTGCCGCGGGGACGAGCCCTCCCTGCAGATGTGCCAGCACAATGGTTGGGGCGTGCACAACTGCAGGCATGTGGAGGATGCCAGTGTCATCTGTGCAGGTGGGTAGCCAGCAGAGACCATCAGCTCTCCAGCAGCTCACACTGGATGGGTTCTGGTGTCCTCCATGGGAAGCAGCCATGCAGATCCAGGGCAGACATGAGAGCCTGGGGTTTTCTGCTGCCTGATGCTGAAATACGTGTCATGCAAAATCCCCATTTTTGCACAGAGAGGTCAGAACAGGCTCTCCAGTCTCACAGGTGTAGGTGCTCCATGTGGCTGCAAAGAGTAGGTTGGTGGGATCATGGCATGGGCTGTACCAGGGACGTGTCAGGTTGGTGTCTGGATGGGTCAGTGGCAGGAGTTCCATGCCCTTTCATCCCTTTATTCCTTGAGTCTAGCATTTCCAAGTCCATGTCCATATCCATGCCCATGTCCATGCCATATCCATGCCCATGTCCGTGCCATGTCCATGTCTTTGTCCATATCCATGCCCATGTCCATGTCCATGCCCATGTCCATGCCATATCCATGCCCATGTCCATGTCCATATCCATGTCCACGTCTTTGTCCATCCTCTGCCACAAGTTTGCTGCCTTTAGTACTCTTTCATTCACTCCCTCTTGTTCCTTGCAGGTGCCAATCCAACCCCTCCTGCTCAATGGCCATACACAACAGGTAATTCCTTCCCACCCAGCATATTTCCAGTTTTATAGTGGCACAAGAGGAGAAGAGAGAAGAAGGAGAAGAGAGTGGGCCTGCTGGGCTGAGCCTGCTCACTGCAATGCTGCTGGCCCCTTCTACCCATGGCAAAGGGTTTTGTCATTTGAGGGCTTCTGCCAGGGAGGATCTGAGCCTCAGCAGAACGGCAGCTGCAGTGGTGCTGAGTCCAAGCCCTGGTCTGCCAGACGCTCCATGGCTCCTGGCTGTGGGGCAGCAAGTACCAATGGGGGCAATCCCTTCCCTCAAGCCCATGTGCTTGCCAGCCCAGCCCAAGACACAGGTATCTGTCCTGATGCCAGGTCATGGCTGTTGCTGTTCAGCCATCAAGCAAAGGTGGCCAGTTCCTTGTGGACGCCCTGCCAGGGCCCATAGCCTCAAACACCTGCAAGATGTATGAGTGGTATGGGGAATGTCACATGATCTTGGTGTGCAAAAATGGCTTTTTGGCAAATGCCCCATGCCCCCAGCAGCTCCCAGGACCCCTGGGCTGCTCTCATGGGGTTCCCTATATTGTAATACATGATGCTTGCAGCACCAGTACTCTGCACTGAAGAAGGGCTGTAGTCCCATTTCTTACAAAGAGTTGGGTTCTCAGGGTTTGCAGGTTTTTTTGTGTTAAGGTGTTACTGTTACACTCCTTCAAATATTAAAACTCAGATTGGAAATTGAGATATGAAAATGCTGCCAGTCTCCCAAACATGGTACCAAAAGCACGTGAGACTGTTGGGATTGTGTGGCACAGCTTTGCCTTGCTCATTATCAGCCTTCCATGCACCGGGAGTCTTTGCTCTCTCACTCCCCTTCCTTGGCCTCTTTAGGTTTGCTCACCTCAAATCAAAGTCACTGTGGCCAAATCTCCAAAACAGTAGGGGAGGTGGGGGCTGTGGGTGCTGAGGTGTTGGAAACCTGATGTTGTTGTGCCTCATGCCATGTGTCAGGGCCCGGTGTGCGGCTGTCGGGCGGCAGGAACGGCTGCGAGGGCCGCGTGGAGCTGTACGACGGCAGCACCTGGGGCACCGTGTGTGACGACCAGTGGGACATGCAGGATGCCCAGGTGCTGTGCCAGCAGCTGGGCTGTGGAGAGCCCCTGGATGCCCCACAAAATGCTCACTTTGGCCCGGGCTCCGGCCGCATCTTCCTGGACGACGTGCAGTGCCGCGGGGACGAGCCCTCCCTGCAGATGTGCCGGCACAGCGGCTGGGGCGTGCACAACTGCGGGCACGTGGAGGATGCCAGTGTCATCTGTGCAGGTGAGTGGCCTTCTGCATATCACTCTAAGTGTGTTCTGGGCTCTCTGGGCAGAGCCAAGCTGAGCTCCCCGGGTAGGGCCAGGGCAGAGGCTGCCACCAGGGATCTTTTGCTACCAGGAGCTGAATCCTGTGTGATGCAAAAGACACATTTCTACACAGAGAAGGCACACTGGGTACTCCACACTTCCTGCTTTAGAGGATAAAGGAGGGGGCAAATTGTTCTTTGGGGAAGATGGGGCAGGACTGGGGACAGGTCTGGCTAGTATAGGAATGGGGGGAAAGGCAGGACCTAAGCTCTGTTCCCCCTTTATTCCTACAGCCTGAATTTTGATGTCCATGTTCATGACCACGTCCACATCCAAGTCCTCACTGTGCTTTTGTTCACTCCCTCTTTTTCTTTGCAGCTGCCAATCCAACCACTCCTTCTCAGTGGCCACTCACAACAGGTAGGTCCTGCTCACCCAGGTTATGCCCAGTTTCAAAGTGATGCCCAGCCTGGCACTAGATGAGAAGAGGGGAGTCCAACAGTGCCGATCCTGCTCAGTGCAAGGCTGCTGGTCCCTTTGGCCCATGACAACTCCAGAGTGCTTGAAGGGTCCCCATCAGGGTTGGTTTGCTACCAAGGGGTTGCAACAGGTTTTCTGGAAATGCCTCAGTGAATCCATGACTTCTGCAACCAGGCAGTTCCAACAGGACAACAACAGGTCCCTGGACAGGGCTAGAGCTGCTGTCTGTATGCCTAGAGTCTACCCTCAGTCACGAAACACCCCAATCCCCTTTGGCTCTGCACTTCACTACCTCATGGCCACTGTGGCAAAATCTGAACAACAGTTGGGAAGTTTGGGGCTATGGGTGCAGAGCTGGTGAGAGTTTTTCCTTGTCCTTGTCTCCGTGCCGTGTGCCAGGGCCCGGTGTGCGGCTGTCGGGCGGCAGGAACGGCTGCGAGGGCCGCGTGGAGCTGTACGACGGCAGCACCTGGGGGACCGTGTGTGACGACCAGTGGGACATGCAGGATGCCCAGGTGCTGTGCCAGCAGCTGGGCTGTGGAGAGCCCCTGGAAGCCCCACGCAACGCTCGCTTTGGCCCGGGCTCCGGCCGCATCTTCCTGGACGACGTGCAGTGCCGCGGGGATGAGCCCTCCCTGCAGATGTGCCGGCACAGCGGCTGGGGCGTGCACAACTGCGGGCACGTGGAGGATGCCAGTGTCATCTGTGCAGGTGAGTGGCCAGAAGGGAACTCTGGATCTTTGGCATATCATTCTAACAGGGTTTTGGATCAGGCCAGGGTGGAGGTGAGGCTGGGCTCTTCTGCTGCCTGAGACTCCAGCCCATGCCATCCAAAATCCCCATTCCTGCACAGACAGGGGGAACAGCAGGATCTCCACAATTCCTGCTGTTGGCATCCCTGATGAGGTAAAGCTGTGGATTGAGGGGTCATTATTTATGGAGAATGGGGCAGGAGTGGGGACAGGTCAGGCTGGTGCCAGCATGGGGGAAAGGAAGGAAAGAGCTCCACCCTCTTGCCTGGCATTGGGCCTCCTCCTCTGCTTTTCATGGCCACTGAACTCATCACATCCTCAACTTACAGAGACATCCACCCCTCTGGAAATGACCACCACAGCACCAGCCTCGGACACAACGGAGGTGTCCAGCCCAGCACTGCTGACCACCACAAGCACAGTGGCTAGCACAGCAATGAGCAGCACACCAGGTAACCCTGTCCACTCTCACTCACTGCCCTCCCCACTGCTCCTCCTCTCCCTTGTCAGAGCTCCTTGCACTGCAGGCAGTCTCCCAGTCCTGGGCCTCTCCTCTTAGGCCACCCCAAACTAAAGTGAGGATGCAAACAGAGCATGGGGAAGAGCTGGCAAATGGCACAGCTGTGCCTTGAGTCCAGAAAATTTGCAGCCATTGCTGGTTTAATGAAACTCTTTGCACAGGGATTGTCTCTCACTGCAACCATAAGCAAAAAATTCATTTTGCCTTAACTGCCTCATGTCCTGCATGGGTAGTACCAGGGCTGTTTCCTAGACATGCTCAGGCACCAGGAATGTGGATGGAGGAAAGAAAGACGCTGCTTTAAGTATTTGGACATTCGGGAGAGGTCTCTGTGTACACAGGGGTCCTGTGTGAAACAGCAAAGTCTGGATGGTGATTAGAGATGAATGAAACATCTCTGCAAGATGTTGTAGGAATCACAGGACAGGGGCTCCTAGAAAACAGGCTGCACTCATTTGCATGACATGTGCTGATCTGTTTAGAGCATTTGTCATTGACACCAAATTCTTCCTTGCATCCGCAGCTCCAGCGCCCACCACATCCGCACCATACTCCACAGGTAATTCCAGCCCCCAGCCCCCTGCCTGGCCTTGCAGCAGCCCCGTTGCAGTGGCCCACATGGGCAGAGCAGAGAGCTGGGCTGCTGTGAGCTCATCCTTGTCCCCGTGCCGTGTGCCAGGGCCCGGCGTGCGGCTGTCGGGCGGCAGGAACGGCTGCGAGGGCCGCGTGGAGCTGTACGACGGCAGCACCTGGGGCACCGTGTGTGACGACCAGTGGGACATGCAGGATGCCCGGGTGGTCTGTCAGCAGCTGGGCTGTGGCCAGGCCTTGAGAGCCCCAAGCAACGCTCGCTTTGGCCCGGGCTCCGGCCGCATCTTCCTGGACGACGTGCAGTGCCGCGGGGACGAGCCCTCCCTGCAGATGTG